ATCAGTTATTTTAGGAAACTTTCTGATGCTTTAATATACCTTGGCTGCAGTACAAGGCACAAGCTCTGTAATTTACTTCAGCTAAACTGTGGGAATGTCCATCCCACAACAAATCTTCTCCAGCTCCCATCTCACTAAGGTAAAGTAGCTCCTGGAGCACAAGGTCCCTCATGTTTTTACAAATTGCACATCCCACTTCCACACATCACTTCCACAGCATGTGTGTCCTGGGTTCAGCAGTAGTAGTCATTTTTCTCCTTCTTAGCTGGTGCAGTGCTGTGTTTTTGACTTTCAGCCTGGGAACAACGCTGATAACACAGACGTTTTTGGTTGTTGCTAAGTAATATTTACTCTGACCAAGGACTTTGTGAGTCTCATGCTCTGCCAGGGAGGAGGGAAGCTGGGAGGAAGCAGAGACAGGACACCTGACCCAAACTAGCCAAAGAGGTATTCCATACCACAGCACGTCATGCCCAGTATATAAACTGGAGGCAGTTACCCAGAAGGGCTAGATCGCTGCTTGGGTCAGGCTGGGTATCAGTCGGCAGGTGGTGAGCAGCTGTATTCTCTCCCCTTGTTATTTCCCTTAACATTATTATTATTGGTGGCAGCAGCAGTGGTTTATGTTATACCTTAGTTACTGGACTGTTCTTATCTCAACCCATGAATTTACTTTCTTTTGATTCTTCTCCCCATCCCTCCGGGAGTGGGGGGAGGAAGAGGGGCAGAGTGAGCGAGTGGCTGCATGGTTCTGGGTTGCCAGCTGGCCTTAATCAACCACAGTGTGCTACACAGCTGCTGAGGGGAACTGGAACTAGAACTTCTCAAGGCAAAAGGCACACATTTCCCAGCCTCCCAGATTCAAAGCCTGCCAAGATGTGACACACAAACACTGCATCAGGACACAGACCAAGAGCCTTTAGAGCCTAAATATGCTATTTATCTCACTTCATGATCCCTGGTTCTCCAGTCAGAGTCATGACAGGGAGTTTTGCTCATTTTCTACATGACAGAGTTTTACTCTCACACACACAGCCCTGCCCACAGGTGACAGGCTATTCATAAAACTGGTTGTCCCAGGGAAATTAAGACTTCTTTCATCAGAGGATTGCAACTAAGCACTGATTTCCTACCAGGTCTATCCCAACAGGCATGCTGCAAAGTCCTGTATTATCCCACACACTCATTTGGCCACCACACTTGTTTCTGTTTTCTTTTTCCTTTAAAATAAAACATTCAGTTGCTAAACCAATATTTATCACCTCTTACTTCTACCCTAACTGAAGCCTTTTTGCTGCGCCATCAAATCCTATCCTGAAGTTGAGTGAAATTGCTCCAATTGTCTTTATTCCATGCTCACCTGTGAATGTTGTAATTTACACAGAAAACAGAGAAAGGGCATGGCACAAGTCTCCCATTACCCACCTACAACTCCTCTTTCCCAAATCACTCTTGGTTATTTTTACTTTTTCCCAAAGTCTCCTTCACAGAAACAAGTAACTTCAATCTGTAGATTCAGCATCCCTCAATTCAACTAGTTATACCTCTATCCTCTGCCTTTCATGCTGTAATTTCTTCCAGCAAAGATCTCCCTGTATTACTTCTCATTTTCTGAACCAATCCTAAAATATAACCTGTCTAATTCTGTCAAATTTCCTAATGCTGCTGGCACAGCCTTGTCCTGCCCTGTCATTTCAGGTCACCTCAGCCTCAGCCTCAGTCTTTGCTTATCTACTGCCAAAATTTCAGTGTCTTTCTGAGGTGCTAAAGGATTCTTCTTGCACCAAAATTGAGAGTGACCACAGGAGGGAAGTCTTATTTGTCTCTATTATATTGGCTCACTGTCTGTATACTGTTAATTGTGCATTTATAAAGATTTTCTTGTGTTCATCTCCACTTCTCTTTCCGTTTTTATGTCACTTAAGCTCTGAGAGTAGCTGTTTTAATGCAGAAGTGCATTTGGTCTCAGTGTGCACCTTTTCCATCACCTTCCTTCCTGACAGTTTCCACATCTGGTTTGACACAATCCAGTCTTTAATTTGAGAGTCTGTTCTAGAAGCAATTCCTTATGCATGAAATTTGTTTTTCTACTCAACAAGTGTGACAACCTGATTATACTGACTTTTAAAAAACGTATTTGCTTTCCTCTTCCACATTTGTTTTGTTATTCATTCTAAAACCCCAGCAACCATCACATTCCTCTCCAGATTACTTCTGTCCTTTTTATTTCTCTGCACTGGTCATAAAAAAATGCAAACATCCCAAATTCCTGCCAGTCATTTCCTTATGTTTACCCATAGTTCACCAGGCAATTTAATTTAACTATGCGTATGTTTTCTTCTCTAAAATACAAATAACAGTAGGATGGGGATTTTATAAAGATTATCACAGTGCTATCCACTAAAGTCAAAGAGGAATGTTACTCTGATTTTAGTTTTTAGAACATTGCTAAAATAGCCTGTTGAAATAGACTGTAGGATTAGGCACAAAGCCAGTCTTTTCCTCATCATAAAATTATCATTTTTCTTTTTATCTTTTTGCTAGACAGTGTTAATAAGATTTCATATTGAACTATAAAGATAAGTTATTTCAGTAGTAGTTGTATTCTGTATGTACACATCCATAACATACAAGGATTTATCAATCACTTACAGATGACTCAAGGAGGAGGGAAATGTTCAGCATATCTTCAGATGGTATTACATTAAACTTATCACCTGGGCTTTTATCTGTTTTTTCCCAATCTTTACTGCCTGAAGATAAAACTCCAAATTACTACAAGGCATCATAAGCAGGTTGTAGTTGTCCAGACATGCTCACATCTCTTTCCATGTGCCAACCCTGGCACTTGTGCAAGGAAACCCCTATGACTGCTAACAGATCACATATCGCCGTGGTAGAGCAGAGACAAAAATGGTGTTTGTGGCGCTACCACAGGCAGAATGGGAACATTTCTTACACTAGCAGTCCAAGTGACCACAGAGCCAGATTATTCTTATCCCTGGTGACCTGAATTATTATTAGACTGCAAAGCCCTTCCTAGTTCTCTTTTCAATTTATGCTTCCTGTCAAAGTACCAGAACATACTCTGTTTCCTCTATTTCCACTTACACCTATCTCAAAAAGCAGCTATAACTATATTCACATGTGACGTTCAAGGCACACTAAAAACTACATGTAGTATATATTTTATCCACACCCCAGACTTCAGTGGAACTTTGAGGATACAAACAGTACTGCATTTCCCCAGTGCAGTTTCATTACTCCAAAATTACTGGGTTAATAATCCACAGCAGGAGTTTTGCTTTGAGCTTTTGGCACATTAAACCAAATATCCAGGTGTGACAACAAAGACAAACCGGTGTGAAAGTACAGCTCTCATGAACTGATCCAAGCAGCCTTGTTTCCAAGAAATAAGATTAATGGTTTGTCTTGTATTACCCTCAGAAAAAAGAGCTATCAAACAAGCTGTTCACCCAGACTTCCCTTACCTATCACAGCCTGTGCTGCAATTCACATTCACTGTAATCAGGGACTGAAAACATACTACAGTGAGTTTCTCTCCAGCATCACCTCTTGATCTTCTTGATCATCAGACCAAGGTTTAAGTTGCCCATCACTTTCATCACATTTTTGTATTCCGTCTTAAGTCCTTACAAATCATTTAGAGTTAAATCAGTTAAAAATACAGGGATGCTCTTGTGCAGATAGACAGCATCTGAAGAAAGTCACAATCAAAAATAAATTAGCTGGTATGTGCTAACTCAGCAGCTGACAGGCTAATCTTGGTGAAGAGCTTGAGCTTGAAACATGAAGAGCTTGAGTTTGAAACAGGAATTACACCAGCTCTCTTCCTGCTTTAAGGAACTGCTTGACCGATATTCAACACTCTGTAAAATGATTCTTCAGCCCCTTGTGCCCCCAAACAGAATATTCTACCCAGTGCACTCCTCAATTTCAATAGCTGTCATTTCATTTCATGTTTTAAAAGTTAGTTTTCTCTTACTGTAATACTGTTTAGAAAGGCAGAAAGTCTGCAAACCCAGGAAGACAAATAAAATAAGTTTTTATGAGACAAAAAAAAATCATAAACGCTTGAGTGACAACTCAGTAGCACTTCATGACACAGCCCTCATTAAGCCACCTATTTAACATATTCCCTCCTCTGGATTTATCTGACATATTTGCTTCTTTTTCTCTATAGAAAGGAAAACAAAAAACCCCCCACCCTAAATAACTGACAGACCACTGCACAGACACCAAAGCTGGAAGCAGGATTGTTTGTCTGCACCACAGAAACATCTTCAAAATACACATTTAAAGGTGAAGATTTAAAACCAAAACACCTCTATGTTGATGAGTAGTCAAATGAAAACCAAAATGATGTTAGCATAATAGACAATTCCCCTAATTTAAAAGGCATCTGATTAAACAGGGAGATTTAGGTCAGATATAATGAAGTTCTTCTCTGTGAGGGTGAGGCATTGGCACAGGTTGCCCAGAGAAGCTGTGGCTGCCCCATCCCTGGCAGTGTTCAAGGCCAGGTTGGATGGGGCTTGGAGCAACCTGGTTTAGTGGAAGGTATACCCGCCTATGGCAGGGTATTGGAATTGGATGAGCTTTAAGGTCTCTTTCAATCCGAACCATTCCAGGATTCTATGATAACTTTTAAAAGCCAGAGGTGACAGCACATACCATCCACAGTTTATAAAGCATTTAACACCACTTCAAAGCTGATTGATACTAGCACAAATGACAGTATACAGTGATAGTAAATGAGAAGGGGGTTTGAGCATTCCAAAAAATGTATCTCCTTCTTGATAAGAATTTATGCACAAATCCATTCCCATCATCTCCATGCATACTCCATTTGCCAGCTGATAAATCTTGCAGAACGTCATTGACAGAAAGCAGCCATCACAAGTTACCAGAACGTGGGTGACTGTCAGAAACCATGACTAGGGCTGCTGCTCTGCCACGTTCCTCAAGTGCAGCCTCACCTCGGCAGATGGTCCCATTCCCCACGTATCCGGGTTTGCAGGTGCAGCTGTGTCCCCTCACAGTGTTGGTGCAGATGGCATTCTCATCACAGCTCTGGTGCTGGCTGCCACACTCATCATGCTCTGCATGGGGGGGGAATAAAAGAATAACAAGTTACAGGCAATGCAGTGAGCTCTGAAGTGTGATGCTGTGGCAGCCGAAAACCAAGAGGAATAACAAGGTTACCCCAATGGGAGTTTGGCATTGGAGTCAGTGACGGGCCTGGTCTAGTTAGGAAGCCCTGCAGCATGTGAATGGTGACACTGGAGCATTGAGGTTCAAACCAGGAACAAAGAAGTGGTGAGCAGGTAAAGTACAACCATGACAAAGGCCCATCACAGGAAAACATCTGCGGTGCAGACTCACCTTTACAGTAGCGTCCATCACCAACAGTGAGAAGCATAAATACAGCATAAGTGAATCCAAGAGGAGCCCTAACAGCACGCCCTTTAAACACACAGCTCAGTTGTCAGTGACACACACCAAGCTCCTTCTCTAACAGCACATAACATCTGACATTTCTAGAGCACTGTTCATAGCATCAAACCCCCAAAAGGCTCCCAGAGCAATGGGCCAGATGTTTCTTTCATCCAGCAACTCAAACTACTGCTACTGAGCCTAATTTGCTGCAGCTCCTGCACTTTGCTACACTTTGTTCTGGCAAAGCAGCAGTTAGAGGTGGCAGGCAACTGGCCCTGGAGTTTACCACTGATTTCTGCAATTGCTGTCAGTTTCCCTCCTGCAGTAGGATTGCAGAAAGAAAACTGGAATACTTCACACTTTTGCACTGCTGGATTTACAGTTTTGTTCTGTGGAATCAAAAGGATGCAGTGAAATTCCTTAAAACCATACAAAGGATAAGAGACAATCAAAAACCAGCATCTGGAATCCTCCTCCATAGTCTTCATTTATGCAATTGAAACCATCAAGGAAAAATGTATCCCTTTCTGTAATTAAAGATTTGCTTAAATACAGCAGTGAATAAAGTATGTTCAAAGGATTACAGACTAAATTTAGACTTTTACAGATCACAGACAGAGGTAGTGCTTCTAAATCATGAGCAAAACACTCATTTTTACAGACTCCGAATTAAGCCCTTTGGAAGAACCTCTCCACTAAGAGCAACAGGATCAGAGGCTTTGCTAGGGTCAAGTTAAGCTCCACAATGCCCTCGCTTTGCTATAGAGTAGAATGACAGCCCATTTCTAGATAACTCAAGAGAAATGTGAATTTGAATGGTGGATTCCAAGGAACCCTCTGAACCAAATATTTTTGCAACACCATTGATAACTATTTGCAGAACATGTCCCCGACATATGTTTTCTAGTTTTCAAATGCATTTGACAGCAGAATAATATGAATTGCAACTATTCTCTTTGAAAGAACATCAAAGTGATAGAACAACATATGCTCACTCTTTGCTTTTAGCAAGAAACTCTCATACACACTCATTCCAAAGTGCCTGGCTTCAGCTGATAAATGCAGCTTACATTTATGCTATTAGTCCATGCTGGTCCAGAGCTCTGCTTAGGAATTCCCCTCAGCTCCTTGCCAGTCTTCAGACACCTCATACTCTGAATGCCAGGCTGCTTCACAGGCTGCCTGCTCTCTCCTTCAGATTTGAATGACCTGTTCTACAGCCTGAATCTTACCACTCTGGTCTCAGGGTGCTCAGAGGGCTGGGTCAGACAGAAAATCTTCCAGGGAAGTGCTTAGCAGGCAGCTGAAGCTGAATGCTGCTTTGTTTTAAGAGATACCCTCTCCATAATGTCTCCCTAGTTATTGCCATTAGTTTGCATGTATTTGCATTCAAATTAAACTGAAAATGCTTTTGTGACAAACTCCTACACAGACAACAACATTCCTACTCAAACAATTGCCAAAATTAGCTGATTACCTGCTCAGCACTTCAGCTATCAACAAAAGATTTCCCAGCGCTAACATGTTTTGCCAAAATACACATGGGATTGTACTTTGCTGTGTTGTTCTAGGACTTTGACAATGTAAATCAGCACATTTACCACTCCCGCAGATGTACAGATGTGACAATATTGGAAGAGTGAGCCCTGATAAAGCTGTTTTCCCACAATCACACTGAAAACAGAGGTCAGGTTTTCTCTCAACTGATATAATGTGAAGATTTAGGAACAAATTTGTAACATCCTTCCTGGGACATCCTGATGCTGCCAGCACAAGGAGGACTGAGGTAAATTTATCTGCATGAGGAATCCCAAGATTTCTTAGCAGCAATAGGGCTGCAACAATGGGAACTTTAAGTTTTCCTTGGTGTGCAGATGTCTATAGATGATGCTGCTACAGGCCCAATAATAATGAGGATGCATTAATTTTCTGGCCAGGTACAAAAACCTTTTAGCCCCAATGGAAAAATCCTTAAGATTATGTCAGTAGTGAGTTAGCTCCAGTTTTCTTCTCCCTCATAATAGACCATCCTTTGGAGCACTTGGTGTTCACATTGGGAAGCGAGCATAGGAAGTGAGCTCATGTTTTGTGTAAACGCAAGGGAGACTATGACTAATTTCAAAGAACATCACCCATTCCCGCACTTCAGATGGAATCTGCTGCTCTTTTAATGTTCTGGTAAATATTATGAGACTGACAGAAATCGAACACTGGAAGAGAAGGACACTGAAACAAACAGCATCATACCAAAGTACCAGTGAGGGGCGAGCTGAGACAAAAATCTCAAAAGTCTTATCTTAGCTTGACTATTTCCCTTTCAGCTGAAAGTGAGAAGTACAGGAAAGAGGACTTGAAAAAGTGTTCTTTATTTTATACCCACACACACATATATACATGTAGATGTAAATAAATATGCTGCCATGCTGTCCTGGGTTCAGCAGTAGCAGTCATTTTTCTACTTCTTGGTAGCTGGTGCAGTGCTGTGTTTTGACTTTCAGCCTGGGAGCAGAGCTGATAACAATGATGTTTTGGTTTGGCCAAGGACTTTGTGAGTCTCATGCTCTGCCAGGGGGAGGGAAGCTGGGAGGAAACAGAGACAGGACACCGACCCAAACTGACCAAAGAGGTATTCCATACCACAGCACGTCATACCCAGGAGGCAATGGAGAGTTACCTGGAAGGGCTAGGGGACTGAAGGGTTGGAGGAGGTACGGGTCAGTGCTTGGTCAGGCCGGGGGCACGAGTTACCGGTCGCCTGGTGATGGGGTGTTGTATTCTCTTCCTTTGTTATTTCCTTTATTATTACTATTACTGGTGGTAGCATAGTGATTTGTGTTATACCTTAGTTACTGAACTGTTCTTACCTCAACCCGTGGGAGTTGTATTCTTTCTGATTCTCCTCTCCGTCCCTCCAGAAGTAGGGGGAGGGCAAGAAGGAGGGGGAGTGGGTGAACAAGCTGGCTGGCTGGGGTTAAACCACGACACATGATCAGGAATGAAACTGTCAACATTAAGTGTGAATGAAGTCATCCATCACTCTATGATTTCTATTTGTTATATTACACAGACAAAAGGAGCTTACAAACAAAGACAAAAAGAACTGGCAGCTTGCTAAGAAGGACAGTACTGTGGGATGCAATTTCTTGACCCAAAACTCATTCCCCTGGATTATTAATATCCATTTCAGGAAACAGGTACCATTTCAGAAGAACAGTAACAAGAGCAACACCAGTCTTTGGTTATAAGCAAGTAGCTTGCTTATGAAATCTCTGAAAATTAGCTTCAGTGTTAGTATTCCTATTACTCAGGAATCCTGGTCATTGCCACCTCTAATTCCATGCTTTGTCAGTGGTAAAGCCACAAGATCAGCTGCTTTCTTGTGCCTCTGGTATCCTCTATGAAGTGAGAATATCACAAGAAGAATCAAATATCAACGCCTGGATTACCTTCTATTTAATCTATTTTCCCTACAAGCACACATGAGGTCTATGAAAAGACACATCATCTCTGAAGCTTCAGCTCATCTGTCCCTGTTTCCAAGCCAGCAAGTTACAGCTAAGACACAAAATATACATTTTAACCTATCTGCATAAAAACCTTCTAGAATTCCCAAAAGCTTTAATGAACTTTCCCCCAAATCCTCAAGAGTATCTTATTTTCGTTGAACCTGAATCAGGCCAGCTTGTGAAGCAAAGACTATGAAGTCCATTCTTTCCCCAGCATTTATCTGAGCACTCGGAAGATCACTGGGTGGAAACCAGTCCTCCTTTTACGAAAACCTATCCTTGCCACCGGTGTGGTCTGACTCAGCGCAATCATGACCTGTATCAACTGTAGGTGTCCTCTATGCACACATTAAGCTGTGTTACAATTTAGAAGAGCTAAGGCCTTTGCAGACTCATAGAAGTGCTTGGGTTGGAAGGGACCTTAAAGCTCTTTCAGTTCCAACCCCCTCTGTGGGCAGGGACACCTTCCACTTACCAGGTTGCTCCAAGCCCTGTCCAACCAGGCCTTGAACACTGCCAGGGATGGGGCAGCCACAGCTTCTCTGGGCAACCTGTGCCAGCGCCTCAGCACCCTCACAGGGAAGAACTTCCTAATGTCTCATCTCAGTCCCCCTTTTGTCAGGTTAAAGCCATTCCCACTTGTCCTGTCCCTACAGGCCTTTGTCCAAAGCCTATCTCCAGGTTTCTTGTAGCCCCTTGAGGCACTGGAAGTTGCTCTAAGGTCTCCCCTTAAGGAGCCTTCTCTTCTCCAGGCTGAAGAAGCCCATCAATCTCAGCCTGTCTCCAGTGCACAGCTGCTCCAGCTCACAGAACATCTCTTATTTTAAACCAAAATCTCTAAAGAAAACTTCTGTGTGAAGAAGGTGTCACTGGAAAGTCAGCCTTGGGTAACTGCTTGACTTGGCAAACTGAAACTGTGTCAACTTGAGCCAGTGCCCACTCTGGAACGCTGATGCTTACACATGTGGGTAGTGTTACATGACGGCACATGCACAGTGGCTGAAGTATTACAGTTGTCTCTGCTTTGTTCACAGGGAACCTAATATAACTCAGTTTATCTTGATGATTAGAATATTCTGGAGTGTCTGACAGAATGCATTCAGTACTACATGGCCTTACAGAGATAACAATCACAGAAAGCAAAGTTAATTCCCCAG